TTAACCACTAAGCCATCTCACCATCCCCATTTTTCTTTAATTTCCTTGGGCAGAAACCTAGGTAAATGATTCCAGTTTTTTCTTTGCCTCCCATATATATGTAGCCATGCATGCATATATATATACACACACATATGAACGTGTGTTAAGTATTTAAAACTATAATTTTTCTCTAGCTATGGGTTTTTCTGTATTCCGTGTCTTTTGAGATACTGTGTTTTTATCTTTTTTCAGTTCAGTTACATTTTATTTCCTTTAAAATACTCTCTTGTAATTTTTTCCTCTACCCAGCAATTATTTAAAAGTATGTTGTTTAACTTCCAAATTGTTTGCTATTTCCCAATTTTGTTTCTGTTGCTGATCTCTAATTTATATCTCTGTGGCAGCTGGGGAATTATATAGCATTACTTCATTCCCTTTAAGCTTATTGAAACTTCTTTCTGGACTAAAATATGGTTGTATTATTTATTTTTCTGTTGTTGTGATAAAACACCATGATCAGAAGTGATTGATGGAAGAAAGAGTTTATTGTGGCTTACATTTCCTGAAGGATAAAAGTCCATTATGGTGGGAGGGCATGGCAGCAGAGAGCACGCATCTTCGACTGCAAACAGGAAGCAGAGGGTGAACTACCAGTGAGGCAAGGCTATGAATTCTCAAAGGAAGTACTCACTGAGTACTTCCTCCAGCAAGGCTCCATCTCCTGCTGATTCCATGACCTCCCAAACAGCACCACCGACTGAGGACCAAGTGTTTAAATACTTGAACCTATGGGGAGACATTTCTCATTCAGACCACCACAATGGTCTATTCTGGAGAATATATTGTGTGCACTTGAAAAGAATATGTAAGTCTGCTATCTTGGGAAGCAGGTTTTTAAAGTCCTTTCTATCTTTGCTGATATTTGGTCTGGTTGCTTTATCAGTTACTAAAAGAAAGGAAAATTGAATTTTCCAACTGTAGCTGGCTTGCCTTTTCCCCTTGAGAACATTCTGTCAATTTTCCTTGTGTGTGTTTTGGTCTCTGTTGTTAGGTGCATGGACATGCCCTCTCTTCCTGATGAGTTGATTGTATTATTATCAAATGTTGCTTTTCCCCTAGTAACATTTCATGTTTTATCTATTTTATATCTTATCAAACTTTTTGCATGATATATTTTCTGTTCTTTTCTTTTACCACATTTGTGCTATCATGCCTGGCCAGAGCCCTCATTGCAACAAGGTTTCTGGCAATTTGTGCACACACTTGAATTTGACCAAAGGGGCTTCAGTGAGTTTCAACTGTGTTCTATTTCTTGGGTTGAGGAGGAATGGGACCTCGCTGGAATCCTCAGACTGAGGTCTGTGAGTCTTGGTTTATGCCATTTTCTGAACCAGCCAAGCCTCCGTGGTTTGCTTGTTTCTTTGGTCAGTGTAGTCTCTCCCTTACCCTAGTTTTTCCAGGTTCCTTATCTCCTTCAAAAGTCAGCTAAGGCATCACAGCCACCGCATAGTACTGGCCCTTTCCTTAGCTGAATACCACCCGATGCTCTGTCTCACATCTTATTTCTCTTTTCTCATTGAACTCCTCAGCCAGAACCCCTGCACTTGGAGGAAAATCTGTTTTTCCCTCTTCTCCCCTCCACTCCTCTCTGCTGTCTGGTGCATGAAACAGCTGAGTATTTTTCAAAGACTGAATGGTATTGCTTGGCCGGCCTGCTCTTTGCTGCCTTGCCATGTCCTCCCCAAGAGGACCCCAGGCCCTGCATGGAGGAACTGCTGTGTAGAAAGCCCCGTGGGATTAGAGAATTAGGAGGCCTGCCAGTGGCAGCTGCCTCTCCTGTCTCACCCTGTGGCCCCTGCCCCCAGAGAGCTGTGTCAAGAAGCAGCTGTGTTCTCTCTCCCGCCTCCTCCCTCCTCCTTTCTGTCTCGGGAACAAATGCCACAAGCACCCAACAGCTGAGGAAGAAATGTTTTCACACAGGGAGGAGCCAGCAAATCCGAAATCCCAGAGCTGGAAGCACTAGTGTCCGAGTGTCGGCGCTTTCACCTGTGCTGGAGCCCATCCGCTGGGGGGCCACGCACAGAAGGACGTTGTGGAGCAAGTGGAAAGGCAATGCTTATCACCAGGGATGGAGGCCATGGCGGCGTGCTGGGCGGGGGGTGGGGGGCGCGGGGTGAGCGCCTAAGTCAGCTAATGGCACTTTCTTATTAAGGAATGATTTAGGTCAGGAGATTTCTCCCTTGGTGATGCAATTTGTATGCACTGAGGTTTTCAGTAAAACTAGGCTGGCTTCAGCCTGGGATGAACGGGTGTCATTGGGAGTACTCCCAAGGGTTGCAGGAGCCAGCAGTCCAGGCCTGAGCCAAGAGACCCTGCTTGGCAGGCAAAGGGGAGATGCGCTTGTCATTTCCCAGAGGGCTGAGGCCTGGACGGCCTCCCCTCATTAGTTGGGCTTTTGCAGCATTTGGTGGGCACACATGCTCGGTGCCCTTGGGAAATCAATTCCAGAGTGCAGATGCCGGATTCCAGCTGGTGCCTGCCCTGCCCAAGGGGCAGATGGGCTAGCGCCTTGCTCTGATTTCAAGCAAAGGATTAAAGAGAATTTAGCAGAAGGGAGACGA